ACATGGAGACAAAACCAAAAACACCAACATTTCCCCCAGGTGTGACACAAATAAAAGCACAGTTCTGTGTGATTATGCCGGCACAGTCTGCGTGAAAGACTATTTCCTCTGATGCAGGTCTCCTGGTCTTAGCAGTACTGTCAGAGAGAGTCCAGCAGAAAAAGAATACACAAACCCACACTACTTCACTTCCTCTGTTCAGCGTTTGAGGTCAGGCATTTCACATTTCACATGTTTTCCTGTAAAGACTATAAAAAATGGCATTTCCATAGACTGAAAATGATCAACTTTCTGTGAATTTCAGCAGCCATGCCCCCCAACATGTAGCTCCATTCCCAGGGAAGGACTTCAGTTCATCCTCTGAGAGAGGGTATGTAAACACTAACATCAGATTTCTCTGCGTGATATATTTTATTTTTCTGAAAATCATTCTGTTTTCTAGATTCAACATGTTTCAGAAACCCAGTGCTTGACATTTTTGTCATTTAATTTGTTCTGGCATCAGACCAGATGAGGTTAATTATGAGCGAGTTAAACACACCCAGGCTTTCTTTGTGTTAGTCAAACCTCAATTCAGAAATAACAAGAACCACATAGGCTCTTTGCATTTTTGTTTCCTTCAGATCATGCCCAGAATAAAAAAATGAAAAAGCATGGTTTGTTAAAGGCCAGATTGTTGGAATAGAGAGATGAGGAGAGAATAAAACACACTGCAGTCAGATAATTGTTAGTAATACAAAAGAATATCTGCCAGTTGTTTATGTCTGCTTACAATGAGTTCCTAAAAGTCTGAACTTCATACTCAGAAGGTGCATTTAGCACTGACACAAAACAACACATAATCTCCTCAGTCGTACACAGTATCTGTGTGTGATCCAGAATCAGTAGAATCCAAATGGGGGCAATTCACGACAAAATGAAAAATCATTTAAAGCTCAAACTTCAGACCAGGTTAAGTGTCCATCACAGGTTGAGATAGCCCCAAGCGAACTTGTAATAAGGATTTGTGGCAAACCCATGATTTTTTTGTCTTCAGAAACCTGAAAGAAAGAATCTTTCTTTATTAATCTGCTCTTTAAACATGTGGCTACTTACAGGGCACGCATTGCAGTAACACTCAGACTTAAACATACCTGCAGATTTTATACATATGCAGTATGAGTGCTACCATCATTTTTTATGTCTTTATGAAGTCATGTCTGCAAAGACTGAGCTGCAGAAAGCAGCGTTTTACAGCTGCAGTAAAACACTCAGAGCATTATGTGTGTGCTTTTGTTCCTGTAACAGCCACGCTCTCTTGATTTAAACGCAGGCTTTAAACTGTGAGGTGCTGCTTTACCTTCTGGAACATGCACAGTTAAGATGTTTCACGACTGAATGGTCCAAAGTCATGGATGAAGGGATTTTTACCAACCATGACACAAAACAAATTCAGTCAGATTAATGCACAGTCCTTTGTGTGTCTCTCAGGATGCCTCCCTCCACCACAGTCCCACCCTCCGTTATCCCACTGACGGGAGACCAGCAGGTTGATGCCAGCATCCTGGCGTTTGTCAAGGCCCGGCAAAGCCTTCTTAACAGGACAGGTAAAATCAGACACACGCTTGTTTTTCTAACCATTCCCTAACCATCCTACCCCAACCTGACGTTAACTTACTCAGCCACACTTATTTACCTCACTGTACACATCATGGGTACCATATAGAGGTACCATGTGTCCAGGGTTTTGACCTCATCTTTAGAGAGCAACAGGAGGAGACTGAAGAAGAAGATTAAGATTAAGAAGATTGTTATTTTCTGTGTATTTCAGCCCCCCCTCAGCAGTGAACTGAACTTCGAAGAATTCATGATGTCACCGCAACCACATAAGCCAGGTGAAAGAAAGAAAACCTGAAAATGTAAACTTTAACTAAGTTTTGCATCAGTGTGGAACACAATCTGTTTTGTCCACATAAAGAAACTTATTAGATATTGTACAAATATGTAAAATGAGCTTTTTATGTAATCTTTATTTAAAGTATCAAACTAAAGATTTTATTTTATGTTTTTTTTTACAGGAATCATGAAGTGAAGCAGCTGACTTTTCTGTCCCCTGAACTGCATTATTATACACAATTACAGTCACACAAATGAATAAAGTGCATTTTGTTAGCTGAACATCCTGAAGTGTGAGCACCTCCAGAGAAGTAGAGTTCAGAGTTGGTCTGCTGCTCCGGGCCGTTCAGGTGTGTGTTAGCACCATGCAAAGGAGGAAAGGCATCAGAAGTGGACACACAGTGCTCGGAGAAACAGCACAGCTCACAGCAGGTGTCAGCACGGTGGGGGAGGGCTCATGATTCGGGCTGGCTCTGCAGCAGCAGCATGCAAATCCACAACAGAAGTTCTGAGAAAGAGAAGAATCAAGGTTCTGCGAAGGTCCGCTCAGGTCTCAGCCTGACAGCCTGAAATGCTGTGGGACCTTCAGAGAAACCAAAGCTAAAAACCTCCGTGAACCAGAGCAGCACTGGGAAGAGGAGAGGTCCAAAATTCAACATGTGACAGACTGAAGACAAAGGCAAGGAAACACCCAGGACGATCTGGTGATCAGAAACATTTGGCCAATCCTGTAAGACTTCCTACACATCAAATACAACTTGTTGACATCTTTGCATGGCTTTGCATTCATTTGTTTGAAGGATGAGTAGAAGCTCCAGGCTTTGCATCCAGGCCTTGGGTCTTGGTTGCCTTGGATATTTCTCTGAGGCAGCCCAGCCCTTGAAGTCAGATTTGTGACCTCCCATCTCCATGAAAACAACATGGTTTCCTAGAAGGTTTGGAAATTGCGTGAGTAAAAGATAAACACTGGGTCATAATTTGCAAATCATTTTAAAATATTTTGCAATAGCCAATACAAATTATACAAAAAAAGTACAAATGCTTATTGTATGCTTTTCTTTATCCTTGAATTATACATCCTGCTTTATATATCAGACTAACCACATCTGAACGGAGTCTAACTAACTATGATCGGCTCATCTGAGAGGTCTGGTTGATGTTTGTGCCAGATTCAAAACATGATCAGACAACCAGAAAATATGTGAGTTTCCTAGAAAGAATATCTCACCACCACTTCCTCCAGAGTGGTAATAAAGTAGTAATAAAATAGATTACTGTAAAGAAGGAAACCTGATTTCCAGATCAGGCTGATTCCTGTGCTCTAATGGCTTCTGTGCAAAGTAGTTTTATTCATTTTTCTCCTCCATGTTCCTGCGCCTTTAACTCAAGTCCCCGTGGGTTATTCCTGATTAACCACCTTTCTCTGGATCATCCTGGATATCCTTCTCCAAGTTTAGATAACCCCCTGGAACCTGTAAGACTAAATTCCAAATATCCATCCATACTGGTCCATTTTGTTTTCTGGCCTTTACAACTGCCAGAAATCTTAACTGCTAGAAGTATTTGTAAACAATAATTTTTTTTTTGTGGATTTTTTGTGTTAAATTATGCTTTAACGCACCATAACTGCAACGCCAGCCTCCAGAGTTCGGTCTGCTCTGTGTGCTGGAGCAGAGAAACGTGACGTCAGCAAACAGGGCCGGGCTGGCAGGAAAACACACACGCTCTAATCTTCTGGATTAACAGCTGTTCACACAAATCCAGCCGTCAAAATCAAGATGTGGTCATAAATGGAAGTTACGTTTCTCCAAATATAGTTTTAAATGTTATTCTTTTCCACGTGGGGGAAGCTTTACTGTATATATAACAGGCTTAGATACAGCAAAACTCATAATGGAGTTATAGCTTTTTTCTAAGTCAGACCTAGGACTTTGCTTTGTGTTGGAAATAATTGATCTGTTCGGAAACAAATTGACCTTTATTGATCCATCCAGATGTGGGGGAATGGAGTGATGTATTTTAGGGCAAAATCTACTAATTTCAGAGATTCTGCACGTGTTGGAACCATGTGAACTTCAGGACCGACCTATCATCCAAATTGATGCTTTATGGAACAGATCATGCTATTTTTATTTGATCTTTTCTATAGTTTGGAAAGTGTTTCTCAGAAGCCAGTGTTTTCTCTTATTTCCTTTCAGACATGTGCAGCATGCTGGCTTCATAGACCATGATGTCACAGATCCTCACTGTTCACTCTTGAGGCTCCTCTCAGCTCTTTGCTTTATGGCTCATGATTAAGTAGCCCTCAATACAGCTCTCCAAAATGTCACCTCCTTCCTCTCATGTGATCATAAACAGGCTTGGCTCAAGACTGTGGAGGAAAAAAATCCAGCGATTTTTCCAACAGGCTAAAGTGTTCATCCAAAAAATAAACTGAATTTACGCCCTTTGACAAGACTCAAACTGTGGCTTTAGTTTAACTGCAGTTACTGCAAAACGCACAAGATCCAAGAATTCAGTCACGTGTATCAAGGATACCCTGTTTTCCTTTCAAAGTGTGAAAGCAGACAGACTTTCCAGAAACTGAAGGAAGACGACCATCAGCTCTCTCCTCTGGGTGCTAGGAACAACCAGCAACAGGCAGGTAAAACATTAACTTTTGTTCTGCTGACAAGATACTGTCCCCTGCTTCCTTATTAGTGGAAACAGTAGAAAGTGTGTGTCCAGATGTCATACTAATGGAAGAGAGGAGTTTGGTGGTTTCCAAGGCGACCCGTAAACCAACATCTTTGGGTCTTTGGCCAATCAGAGGGAGGGCATTTTCAGCCGGAGCCAAATGCAGCTCAAACACACATCAGCCGCCTTTATCAGATGAAAAACTAGCTTCAGGATAACAGCTCGCCCTGATTGACATTTTGCTCCATTTTATTTGCTCCATTTTTCCTGTCTCTTTTTAAAAAAAAGAATGCCACAGGCTGGGCTGACAGGCGTTTTCTTTGGAAAACTTCATACCAGATCCACGTCTTCATCGAAGGCTTTTTCGCTTCTTCCCTTCTAAGTCCGGTCATCTCTCTCTTCTGTGTTCGAGCGTCAGCTTTTTTTGGGTCCTTTCTGGCGGAGGTTAATGGCGAAGTTTCAGTTGGTCCAGGTCAAAGTGAACTGGACAGCATTCCTGGTTGTGGCCCACTTCACCTACCTGCTGGTAGGGGCCACCATCTTCCAGATTCTGGAGCGAGAAGCCGAGAGCAACAACAGGAACCACTTCCAACTGGAGAAGCTGAATTTCCTGGCAAACTACACCTGCCTTGATGGACCAGCCCTGGAGAACTTTGTCAAGGTTTTCCTTAAAATCATTCAGTGTTCAAATATCGAGTTTTACAAATCTCTGGTTCTGTGTCGAGAGAAATGTTGTGTTTTTCTCTTTAAACAGCAGCAAATGCTGAAATTCAATCATTTTCTTTTTTATTTGGACTGCTTTTGGATGCTAGTTTCATACTTATATAATAAATCAATCGTTAGATACTTGGTTGAAATATTCAAATATCGAGTTTTATAAATCTCTGGTTGTGTATCGATAGAAATGTTGTGTTTTTCTCTTTAAAGAGCAGCACGTGCTGAAATTCAATCATTTTCTTTTTATTTGGACTGCTTTTGGATGCTAGTTTCATACTTATATATAATAAATCAATCGTTAGATACTTGGTGGAAATGGAAAATTGTTTGTGTAATTTTTCAGAACATTTCAAAATGGCCTCTGATACTTATGAATCCATTTGACCTCTTTGTGAACCCCTGAATGTGTGTGTGTGTGTGTGTGCGTGCGTGTGTGTGTGTGTGTGTGTGTGTGTGTGTGTATTTGTGCTGCAGGTGATTTTATACGCCTGGGAAAAGGGAGTGAACCCGTCCGGGAACTCGACGAACCCCAGCAACTGGGACTTTGGCAGCTCCTTCTTTTTCGCTGGCACGGTTGTCACGACGATAGGTGAGCGTTTGGGGCTGGAGCTCCACGGTTTGGGGGCGGCCGGCCGTGCTTTAACGTCTCTGTCCCGCCTTTATTCGCAGGATACGGCAACCTGTCCCCCAGCACCATGTCCGGCCAGGTGTTCTGCGTCTTTTACGCTCTGTGCGGGATCCCGCTGAACCTGGCCTTCCTCAAACAGTTGGGCAAGTGTCTGACCGTCCACCTGGGCCGGCTGGAGAGGGGCATGGTGGCAGTGGTCCCCCACCAGGTATCTCCATTTATTCTGTAAGATCGAGTTCCCCGCTAACGGTACGAGCCCCGACCATGATATCTCCCCCTTTAATAGCGAGCCGTTGAGGCTCTGGCGGTGAGTTTGTTCTTCCTCACGGGCAGCCTGCTGTTCCTGGTCATCCCCCCGCTGCTGTTCAGCTACGTGGAGGGCTGGACCTTCGGCGAGGGCTTCTACTTTGCCTTCATTACTCTCAGCACCATTGGCTTTGGCGATTACGTGGTGGGTGAGTAGAGACGGCAAACAGTCGCTAATGTGGTGGAAAGGCCAAAGAGCTCACACCTGTCCAGCAATAAGAAACACCTCCGTCATTAGGGTTGAGACAAACTCACTCACAGTGTTTCTACATGTCTTATCTTTTAAGGGACGGACCCAGGAAAGGAGTACATCTCTCTGTACCGCAGCCTGGCAGGCATTTGGATCATTTTCGGGCTGGCTTGGATCGCCCTCATCCTCAATATGGGATCCAGAATCATGGAGAATGTGGTTGTCCTGACGCACCCAGGCTTTAAAAAGCAGGAGGAGGAAGAGGAGGAGGAGGTGTCCTCCAGTAAACTAGAAGACGTATCAAAGATCTGAGCTGCCGGTCACTCTGGCTTCTGTAGTCTGATTTTTTTTTCTGTGCTTGTTGAACGAAACTAAAAAAAAAAATGTAGCAGCTACTTGCTTGTTCGCCAAAAAATGTTTTTTGTATTTATGGATAGCCATTCTGTGATGCTCCACGCTGGAAAAGTGTGTTTTCTGTTTTACATTCTACCTCAGTGAAGTCGGGTTTTTGTGTGTGTGTCGTTTTTGTTATCCTCTTTTATTTCTCACCTTCTCGGCTAGGTTGCCAGGCATAAATCTAATATCTGACTGGGTCTGGCTTTTGTACAGCATCACATTTGTGTGTTTTGTGTGTGCACGTGAGTTCGGGTCTGTGTTTGTGCATTGACGGGACTCGATGGGTGCACGGCGAGCTATCTTATCCAAACACGGGAGGGGAAGTCAGATGGAAAAACGAGGGTTTCTCTCACCTGTTGGGACCAAAATGAAATCCAGCACAACTCAAACTGTATTAAAGTCTTTACACTAAATGCTGTGTCAGCTTTTTTCCTTCATCCAGACCTCTGATGCTCAGGCGTGTCCTCTCACAGTACGGCCTGTGCTGCCGTCACACCCTCATCTTATTTTGCTCCTTCAGATTTGCATGTCAGTCCATTGAAGTGATGGAAACAGTAGCACACAAGGAGCAAAATTTGCCTGCCATGCTAGAAGAGAAGCACAGCTGGTAAAGCTCGTCTCTTTGTGCCTGAACACGGATTCTGAGACACCGGACAACTGAGCTTAAAACTAAAAAGCCGAGATGAGGATGAAAGAAATGCTGAGTCTGGCCCATGTGCCGTCCATCCTGGTCCTGGGTGTGGTGTACGTGGCCTACGTGCTGATCGGAGGGGTGATTTTCTGGAAACTGGAAGGAGAGCTGGGGCAGAAAGGTGTCAGTGATTTACTGCAGAAGAAGGAGAAGCTTCTCCTGTCCTACACCTGTCTGGACCAGGACGGCCTGGAGGAAGTGGCGGAGGTAGGGAAACACAGACACCATCTGATAAAAGGTTTTATCCCAAAAGTAGGGAGCTTTAGTCTGTAAGACCTGTTGTGAAGCAGATCATCAATATTTCTAACACTGGCCGACAGTAATACGAGGCATTCTGATCAGGCGCTACATAATTATCTGTAAAGCTGGTTATTTACGGTACGTATAATTCCTGCAATTCCTTAAAGAACCAAACATAAGCTGAGGCAGAAGATGTGAGTACTGTATAATATAGGAGTGTTAGATTCTACAGTTGAGCAGCTTCAAGCTAAGATTGAAGATGGAAGACGGGCTAACTGCCTTGTAATCAAGTTAGAAGGCAAATATAAAGACTTTTGATCATTGATGGGGGTGAAAAAATCCTCCTGAGGTCATATTATTTTAGCACAGTGTTCTCATGGATCATCAAATGAACAAGATTTGAAAAAATCCTTGGGATTTGGGAAGGGATATGACTCTTTTCAACAGTCCAATGTAGACAACTCAACTCAGGCATTGTCTTTGTAAGAATCAGATTATGTGGAAAAAGCAGGAGATGAAATTAAAAAACTGGCCCAGGTGGTGTACTCTGATCATGCATGTAGTTGGTTTAAAGTAACACTAGTAAATCAGGTTTTTTTTTAAGTTATATATTTCTGTTAGTTTTTCAAAAGCCAGCACTCTCAGTTTTCTGACCCGAGCAAAACATGATTAAACATCATGCCTTTCAGGAGTTAAATAAAATAGAGGCTACATAGTTGGGAGCAAAACGCGTTCTGGGGCTCCTCTGATCTGTTGACCGTCTGACACGAGCATGTAGGAGCCCTCAGACTTACAGTTTTAAATTTCTGTGCCTGTTTGTTCAGGGACGCCTATAGGTTTCCCCTCAATGCTATAATCGGCTCAGTATTTTCATTTTCCATTATTTTATTTCTAAATTGATGGACTAAAGTGTGGAATATTCAAAGCGTGCAAGCACAGATCACAGCTGCTGGGCGTCATGCAAAGTCCTGTTTACAAAAGCTGCCAGTCTGGTTTATTCTGGCAAAAATGATAAACCACACGTTTGTATAGTTTATCATTACTCATCGACGCACTCAAAGCCTCGAATCGACAGCATTTTCTCTTGGAATTTAACATGTTTGAAGGTTTTGTTAAACTACATGTGTCATGTTTTGTATCACCAACTGCTCCACTCATCATCAGTTGTTGGGCAAACGTTCAACATTAACTTAACCACCTTTAAACAGCCGGCAATCTGATATCGAATCCAAGATAAAGAGGATCATGTCCAGTCTCAGAAGAAATTAGCTTTTGGTCCACGCTGACCTACTGAGGGGGTTCTGATGTGATCGAGACTCAGTTGCTTCCACGCAAATAGCTTATCCAAACCTCCAAAAGTGCACGCTCTGCTTTGCCTATGTGGAACATGTCGGGTCTGATTCGAATGAAAACAAAGATCTACATTCCTTCTTTGCAAACTGATCAAAATTCACCTCTAACTGCACTGGATAAAAGAAAAAACTATATATTGTCTGATTTTTTAAGTGATAATCATGAACCAACAAATAGTTGGAAATATCTGCAAACTAAAGTGGGAAAAGCTGCTGTGATTTGCATCGTGTTGACACAAACGCCGGCCGGCCCCCGGGGATTAAAATCATTCCTCTGCCTTGTTTCTTGTAAAATCTCATGTTGACGATTGAGAAACAATACATTGCTAATTAGCCACAGGACAGCCATGTGCGTAATTCCTCACAGAGGTGCTGAACTGTGAACACGGACCTGAGAGGTTCATGCTGGCAGCTGTGATTTAGACCGAAATAACTCCAATATTGCTCCAATAATGCTCCAATAAACCCCAAAGATCGGACCCCTGAGTGCAGATGGAACTTGAGTCTTTGTGATTGGATGGTTTGTCTAACAGTATCTTTTATTTAATATGGCGGGAAGTGTTCACGTTGCCGTCTGTTTGCTTTCAGGTTGCTCAGCAGGCGTCTAAAGCCGGTCTGAGTCTGAAAGGAAACCAAACCTCCGACGGCTTCTGGAAGTTCACCAGCTCGGCTGTGTTCGCTGCCACTGTGGTCACTACCATAGGTCAGACATCACAAGCCCCATTTATCTAACAGTTTACGGGCAGGAAAACATTTCAAGTGGTTCGTTTTTTTAATAAGCGGTAACTTGATGCTGAAATAATGTAATGATTTCAATTTTATGCAAATTTTAAGTTTGCGTCTCAGAGAAAATGGGAGTGAGTTATGGTTTATAGGTGTTTGGGTGCTGAAAAAAGCCAAAAAAATGCCGAAATTTAGGTAGTACTTTAAAGCAAATATGTTCAAAACAAATGGTAAATATGAAGTATGAAAAAATTCTGAATAAAGAATTATTTGGAAGTATTTACCACCTCAACGTTAACACAAGAGTTAAAGTCAAACTCAGCTCTTTGTGGAGAACTTTTGGCACTTTTCTGCCATAAATTTGTACTATTTCCAAAACAGTCAGCGTTGATGGTTCAGAGGAACACAGATCAACTTCCTTCAGTTTGAGTTTTGGGTTTTTCAATCCTGCACACTCCCACTGTAGGGCATGAACCAAACGAAATGTAACCATTTAGAGGCTTTAAAACATGAAACTGGAAAAAGGACCTGAGACGTTAACAGTTTGTAGTTTTGCAGGTTACGGGAACATGAGTCCCAGCTCCACGGCCGGTCAGATCTTCTGCGTGTTCTTTGCTCTCATCGGGATCCCCCTAAACGTGGTGGTGCTCAACCGAGTGGGGAAGTACATGCTGGCCGTGGGGAGGAAGATCTCCGACTTCCTTGAAGGGAAGAGCGGGCGTAAGGTGAGCCTTCCATGAATGCGTTGTGGATCAATCCAGCCTGAAAAGCTCCTCATTACGGGCTTTTTCCTCATATTTTCCCGCAGAAATGCACCCGGTTTTTCGTCCACCTGGTGTCTTACATCTGTGGAGCGCTCCTCTTCTTCATCATGCCCATGCTGGTGTTCCAGCAGCACGAGGGCTGGACCTACTCCCAGGCCATCTACTACTGCTTCATCACCCTCAGCACCATCGGCTTTGGGGATCTGGTGGCAGGTGAAGCGGGGAACTCACTTTAACTCATTGACTGGCAGCCATTTTCAGAACTGAGTCCCATGCTGCCAGAGTTTTTTGGAGCATTTTGACAGATTTTTCAAGAGCCACAGAATAGTTTGTGCTATGACTATGGAAACACCAAACACACCAAAAGAAAGAGTAGACTCTCTTCTTTCATCAGGAAAAAAAATGTGTTTCTACCTTATTCCGTTCTTCCTCGACGTGCGTCTCACCGGCGACATTTCTCGCATAGCGAACCATTGCGTTTTTTTAAATTTGCCTACAGTCTATGCTCATCTCCCATCAAAAATGGCACAGCCACCTAGAGGGTCGATTTGTTAGTACATACTTTGTCTGGAAGCCTGATATTTACGGAAAAGCTTTAGCAGATCGTCCCCCAAGCCACTCGCGTTGAAAAACATAAAAGAGGTCTATAGACGTCTTTGGCAGCGAACGGTTGTATTTGAATTGACGTCTATAGACGTCTTTGGCAGCCAATGAGTTAACAGCGACTGTGTTCCAACAGCCTGAGTTTAAACGCGTCTCTTTGCTGTTTCTCCGCAGACAGCAATCCGGACAAAAACTATCCCGACTGGTACAGCGTCCTCATGGCCTCCTGGATCTTCTTCGGCCTGGCCTGGCTGGCGCTGGTCATCAACCATTCCAGCGACATCCTGGAGCGACTCAACAGCCACTTCAAGCAGCACTGGTGCGGCGAGAGGGAGGAAGAGGAGGAGGAAGAGGCCCGTGGGGCGGGTGACCACCCCGGCCCCCAGCCGGAGGAGGAGGTCAAAAAGCCTCCAGAGACTCAGTGATCGGCCCAAACTAGGTGAAAGTGTCACTGGTTACAGAACCACCGGCTGGGACGTTAGGATTTGGAAAACACGGTAAATCAGAGTCTGATCACATTAGGCTGTAAAGTCTGAAGGATCAATTATTAATTAATGTGCTACAGAGCAAAAGTTTATCAGGGTCAATACGGTCTCACACAGGAGTGGCCAAAGATGACCTCATCAATAAATGTTTCAAGAATGCATTTTATTACAGTAAGCAAACGGGGTATATACATAAATAAATATGTATGTATGTGTATACACACACACATAGATATATATGTATACATGTATTCACACATATGTAGCAAAACTATGATTAAAGCGTTCGTTTGGTATGACTTTTGCAGAAAAGTTAATGGTTAATGTGTAAAGTTGACTTATTACAATAATGTACATTAAAACCACTAGAGAGATTTATTTATTAAGAATACATAACTTAACTTAACTTTCTTGGATAAATGGTGGGGATATCGATGTAATTAATTCAAGTAAATATGCTGTAAATAGTCTAAAGATATTATATTGTCAGATGTACTCATAACTCGTAACTGTAATCAGTTCAGCCTTGTAATAGACATGATCATTTCAAAATGTAGACTCACAAACCAATCTAACTGTTTTCAGGATAATTGTGCATCTTTAAGTAGTTTTGCTCAGGGCAGTATCAAAGTCACATGACCAGATCTGCAACCAGCGAGTATTAAAACCTGTAAAAGCAAACAGCAGCCATTTTTCGGTGAGAGTGAAAGAACATCAGGGTTGATTATCTCACAGTTTTTCCTAAAGTAAAATGCTTTCCTCCCCCCTGTAAAGAGCTGCAGTCATTTACGTCCACTAGAGGGCGGTATGGTGCCACTGGAGGCCGAACCACATCCAGCCAGGCCCACAGGTTACATCCAGACTTTACATCTGAATGCATTCAAACCGTTTCTGTCTGATGCAACTCGCTGTAATTCTTACTTCGGTCAATAAAACTGCACCGAGGCAGACTTCCTTTTGCATGTGTTGCTTTGCTCACAGAGACAATCGGGGGTGCAAACACCTCCTCAGAGCCAGGAGGAGCCAATGACTAACGCAGCTGGAGTGGAAAAATGAAATATCAATTCAGGAAAAATATTTGAGGCGACGTGCAAAATTCCAGTCGTCTGTAAAGAAATTTTTTTTTCTGTGTGAGGGGTGGAAATACCGGGGAGGAAATGGAGTGAGAGGGACAGGACAGTGACTGGCGTCCAGCCTGGTGGCACAAACCCCTCTGACCACGGTCCAGAGAGCTGAGTACGGGAGAGTGGACCTCTCTAATTAGCTGCTTAAAATCCACCCGGGGCCCAGACAATGAAAGTTTTGCTGTGGCACAGGGGACTTAAAAACTCCGAGGGAGGCCAGATCTGCTGACCCCGTCCAGCCCGGGCGCTCTTTGTCCCGGATCAACAGCGGGGGCGTCATTGTTGAGCCTGATTGGTGCCGCCGAGGGAGAAACAGGAAAGCAGCACACGGCCGTAAAATCAAACTCTCATTGTGGCGTATGTAGAACCGGTGGTTTTCCATCAGGTCAGGTAGATCTGGAGATAACTGCCATTTTCAGACAGATGCTCTCACATCTGGATCTCCAGCACTTTGGTGTACGGATGGAACTCGGAGGGGAACCGGTCTATAGCTGCTCCCAACTTTTTCTCAGTGGTTAATGAAAGTGCAGATATCCAACTGATGGTTCCAAACGTTTATTAACGGATTTGCCGTAATGAACACTGCAAAATACGCGGTGGAAAATAAAACCTACATGAATTATCAAATGAAACATATTAAACAAAATATACATTCTCTAAATTGTCTGTACCGTAGCCTATGCCCCTCCAACCAGAAGGTTAGGAGTTGCTAGAAGTCCATTTCTTCCATTTTTTCCGTCCTTTGCCTTTCCTCTTACACACGCAGACTAATTGTAAACAACTCACAGCTTTCTATCAAAGGCATCACGTGATCAAGTGATGACCCAATCGGTGACGTCTCCATATAACATTGTTACAAAATTTCCCCAAGTATTTACACATTAATCTAAAATACACAAAGATATGAAATAGATATTAAAAGTAAAGCATATTCATATTCACAAAATAAAATAAATTCACACAGAAAAAATGTAAAAATGTTTATGTAACAGCGTTCGCTACACGGTCCAAATCATCATCTTTTTAGGGGAAAAAGCCTCTTCCAAACAACTCGTTCTTGTTCATTCTTTTTTCTAACAGCACTATTTTGACCTTTGACCCCTCTGAAATGCAGCACAGTCTGAGGTTTCTTTGAAAGTTCTTCTTTGTCTGACGTCCATTCCCAGAAAAACGGCCTCCAGACTTCTGAGTAGTTTTTTTTATTTTACTTGTGATCTGTCTTTCCCTCCCTAGAAGTGTGAACCTCCAACATTTTTTAACTGGCCTTGCAACAACTCCCACTTTGACAGGCATCAACAATTCTCTCTCCGTGATCAGTGCTGACGTCTTTTCGTCTTGGCTCCAGAGCAGCAAACGAAACAGAAGTTCTGCTCAAGCTTATGGATGTTTAATTAAGCAGGTCATCGTTTGGTAGCACCGGACCACCTCTGAGACCTTTTTCACACTCTGCTTGTGCCTTTTGTCTCAGATATATAACATATTTTTACATCATGTGGAGGTTCAGTCGGGACCGGATGATTTTATTTTGTTCATCAAAACTGTAAACCCATAGAAATAAAAGTTTTTGAATAGTTTGATTTATTTGTGATCTTCTAAGGTTAGGGTTAGGTTTAGACTATGTGGTAAATATGCGACAATGCTGCAGGGACACACAGACTCTAAAAGCTAATCACTGTGTGGTTTTCAACTAGCGTTACAAGCATAATGTGACACACACTATTAGGTTGGTGCAGGTTTTTCATGCGTTGCATGAAAGAAGAACAGCTTAGTGTGTCTATGTCTACGAGTAGGAAGAAAGAGTGGCACTATCGAAATTTTAAAGGGTAAATGGATCAGAAGACTCGGGATAAAAGTCTGAAAACTTCCACACATTAGTCTCTAAAAGCATAAACTAAGTCAGGAATACTGCTAAAATCCACTGGGTTCTCCAGACCAGCTCAACACAGACTCCACTACAACTCCAGCTCTTCCTGGCTGAGGAGAAAAGGGGGGGCAGATGTGAGTATCTTTGTGTTAGTGAAGTGCCTCCAGGGTGACTGAGAACATTTCGTGTTCAAACTCTCATTTGCATGATTATGAAACGTGGTGTCCTTGAAAGTTGAATTCTGTTGGAGTTCAGTGGCTCTTTCCACGCGTGCTTTAAACGGGCTGATGAAGTCGGCACACCATCCTTATTTTCAAAACAACAGCTCATGGCGACACCTTAAGATCGTCCAGATTCAGAAGAAATCTGGTTCTTCTGTTCTTCTTAATCCTATCGTGTTTGTGGCCTCCCATAAAAGCGCCTTATCATACAAACTGTGGCCAGGAATTCCTTGTTTTATGCAATATTTACAACACGGAGAGCTCTGGCAGCGTGCAAGAAGTGGCATGTTTGTCTCTGCAGAAAAAGCTAACGCTCGTTAAACTCGCTGACACAGCAGTTTGGGACTCTTGACGATATTTCACAACTGTTACGCTTCACATCTAAACCCAAACCTCTGAGTATGACACAGTAAAAACGAAGAAATATGAATTTGCAGCTACTCTCTGGTTAAATTGGATTTTTTCACATCATCATTTTGTGAAAAGCCCCCAGTTTCTTCATGATATTCTTCACCAATCATTGACCAGATGACTTGCTGTTGGTCTGACCACACACTGAGGGACAAACAGCAGGACTTAGATAACTGTGGACAATAAAACTAAAACTAGAACTGCAGTTAAAAATATTACTGCTATAAAGAGCTAATGCTTCAGAGATTAGGGCTGCGTTTCACATGATAACAGCTCTGAGGAATGCTGGAGGCAGTGCCAAGACAGATCTTCACTCCCAGATACAGAAAGGAAACTAAACATTTTACATAACAGGACCAAAAATCACCTCATATCTGATGTGTCAGTAAGGTGGTGGAAGTCTGATGATCTGGGCTGGTTCTTCAGCCACAGAACCTGAACTCCTTCACTCACTGAGTCCATCATGAACTTCTACAGTCAAACGTTAGGGGATCGGGCCCAGAGCCAAAGCTTTCTGCTGAATCTGGCTCATCCACATGACAAAGATCCCAAACACAGGAACAAATCTACAGCTGAACATCTAAACAACAGAAAGACCTTCAAAGGTCCGGTCAAAGTCCAGGCCTTTAACTGAGAGCCCTACACAAACAAAGGCTTCAAACGTCACGCAACTGAGCCGACGTTCCAAATCTTTCCTCCATAACAATGTTAGACTGGAGGTTTGATCCAGAAAAAGGGCGATTTAAGTCACTGAAGGTGTTTTAGCTGATGGCTAATCGGAGGCTGTTTTACATCCCTGCAGGTTATCTGTTGGTTCCCTGATATGAAAAACCTCCCAACTGAAGGAGACAGCTTTCCTTCTCCTTTGAATTAAGGTGTTATCTTTTTTTCTTCTAGTATCACCAGCTGACATGTTTGCACCATGCCTGCTGCTCTCAAACAAACTCATTGGACCTCAACCCTCAAGTTCTGAGCCAATGAGAAGACAACCTGAACACTCAGCCTCCTGAGCCTCCCCCTTATTGGCCTCCCCGACCCCCCCTCCCCCGCTCCCACCAACCTCTCTGTTTGTGTGCGTTTTTTAACCCGGCACAATGAGCGGCCTCCTCGCCGACTTTCACCTTAAGAGGCATCCTCACGCTTCTCACAAATCCAAAAAAATGACTGTAATCAGGCCGGGGACAGACGGGTGCTGAGTTGACAGTTTGGAGATGAAGCCGAAATGGACTGCCTTCCAAAAGAAGAGAAACTCGACTGTTTGTGTGCCGGGTCGATGGATATTAAGACGAGCGTCAACGTGACCGTGTTTGTCTGTCTAAGGGGGGTCACTCATCTGTGTTTTTGTCTTCACTCTTTTGTCACGATGGCCTTTACACAAATATGCAAATGACTCCATCTCACACACGTGAGAACAGGGCACCTGCCAAAAGGACAAAAAAAAAAGAAGATCATTCACCGGCCGAACGCACACAGAAGCAGCGAGGTCACCTCCGGGGGCAACAACAGACAACAGAGCAGACTGATGTTAATCCCAGACCAACGTGACCCGCACAGAACACCCAAAGGTTCACCAACATGAGT